TACAAGGTTTCAGTCACCCGTGTACATCAGCATATGATCATTCGATATCTTCTCAAGCTTCAAATAGTGTACAAAGTGTTATGGTATGTTACCTTATTGTTAATTTTATTGTTTCACATATGTATCAAGTTTCTTTGTCTGACTCCTTCTCATTAATGTAGGGTACTTCGACTGATTCAATACATGTGCATTTTTTAAATGATGCTGAATTATTTTTCATGAATGAGAGATACAACTTGTAAGGATGCAGATGGAGGCTACTAGTTGCTTGTTGGATCATTTAATGAACTATTTATTTTAATGATCTTTTTTTAATGAATGCGATTTTTTTTAATGAATGTGATCTTTTTTTAATGAATGTGATCTTTTTTAATGAATGCGATCTTTTTTTGATGAATGTGATCGTTTTAATGAATGTGATCTTTTTTTGATGAATGTGATCTTTTTTTGATGAATGTGATCTTTTTTTTAATGAATGTGATCTTTTTTAAAGAATGTGATCTTTTTTTGATGAATGTGATCTTTTTAATGAATGTGATCTTTTTTTGATGAATGTAATCTTTTTAATGAATGTGATCTTTTTAATAAATGTGATCTTTTTTGATGAATATGATCTTCAAAGTCACAACAATATACAAAACCCACAATTTCATTCAAATTAAACGCACAAGTTCATTCACAACACAAGTTTCATCACTACACCATTACTTTTACAGCTCTACTTCACTAGAATCACAAATATAATAATCACCACTAGTAACATGACTACAAACATATTTAATTTCATTGAACCTTCTTTAGCCTCAACACATTGAACTACATTACAAAGTTTGTCAATCTGTAACTTCAATGTCATTACATCGTGTTCAATTCGTCGTATATTGTCTTCAATTCTTCGTACATCCATCCTTTCATTTGTAATTTTCGAAGAGGGAAGAGTAATAGGAGTCATCCACTTAAAAAAGTGATTGGAATTGTCTAGAAATTTGCAGTATAGCTTCCCAGGATTTTTTTCAGATTCAAAAACTTTGATAATCGCTCTTTTGCTACAAATGGGGCAATGCATATTGTGATATCTTAACTTGTCATTGCTTGTTGCCATGCTTGAAGATGTCATTCTTCAACATTACAAACATGAAAGGACAATGGTATTAGAACTCAACATTATAGGAAAATGTTCACTCTACATTCATTAAGTTCATTATAGCGATGATGGTATAGAAATGTTAGAATAAACTTCAACATAATGAACTTCATTCATCAATGTAGCAACCCATTCATTCAAAACAAACAATATATTCAACATAATGATATTCAACACAAACAATATATTAAGTATAATGATATTCAACACAACAGAAACATTCAAAAAATAGAGCAACAAACGTAGCTGCAACCTTGATGAGGCTACAACAAACATTGTAGCACAGCAGCAAAATAGAAGATCATTATGTGCCATGAATGATCCATGTTTGCAGTAAAATAGAAGTTAACCTTCAGAACAGTTGTGTGCCATGAATAATCCATGTTTGCATCCAATTGCATAAGAAACCTATACAAAAATGAGGGCTTGACTAATGGTTTAAGACCCCAAATAGGCACTGGAAATTACCAGAAAGGTTGACCCAAAATGAGGGCTTGACCAAAATGTTTGTTAAAATTGATAGTCAATTAAAAGGAGAAAGGTTCATCCCCAGTCTAAAATGGGTGCACTCAAAAAGGAAAAACAAAGGTGATAATTTATGCATATGTTGGTTTAGGGTTAGATTTTTTGGTTTTATCAATTAAAGAAAACAACATCATGTAAGAAGAATCCAGATCAAAAAGCATATAAATAAAGCAATAAATCCCTAACAAATCCCATCGACAGAAATCATAATCAAATTTTACCATGAATTGGTGAATGCAAAATAAAACTGTTGACACTAAAGAATCCTTGGAGTTAAAATATAGGTAATTCATCCATAACTATATGCAGATCAACTGTTTTAAGAACATAATGACACAAATTGATGGACTCAGATAAGACCAATGCAAGATGATACCTTAAAGCAACCACTCCCTTCCCAAAATGACGTATACAAAAGGATGGTGAGATTTAAGGCAATTGGACAATTTATTTTATAGCACAGTGGCAGAATGGCTCAAAATGATGTGATTACAAAACGGTTCAAGAAAGTATACAAATTCAACTGCACCAAGATCAGGGACTCTCACATAGAACAACCTTCACTTGATTCCTACAAGTACTATACAATAACATTTTAAAAAAAATAAAAACAACACAAACCAAATCTCATATTGATCTAAATTTCTAGAGATGTTTTGAACTATTGAGAGACAAAGGGGTGGGCAACATTAATCTATTGAATTCAATTTTCATCCTGACTAGTGCATTCAAAATCAATAACTGTAGAGGAGCCAAATCTCAAATAATCAACCCAAATGGACCTTTCCCTCTCATGTTTTCCCTCTCTCGTTGATTGTTGAGGAGTACCTTGCACAAACCAAATCTCATATTGCATTCAGTCCACAAATTCTAAAATTAGGTCCATTTTCTCAAAATCAATAACCCAAAATAGTAGCATAAACCTGGGTACTCCTTAGTGATCAGCAAGATAGGGAAAGAAGGCATGAGCTTTTTTGTCGCCGGAGGTAAGAGAAAAGAGAGAGAGAGATAGGAGCGCTTGAGTCTGACAAAGCCAAAGGTAGGAGAAGGATTTCAGATGTAGTTTTTAGCTGGACCAAAACGACGTCGTTTTGCTAATGGTAAAAAAAAAAGTGCAAAAAACAGTGAAATGATGCCGTTCCACTTAATCGCATGTCAAGCAGTTACCTCCTTACCATAGAGGAGCCGGACCCCTGAATGGACTTGGCTGGATTGGACAACTAATTGGACTGCACTGGACTACTTGTCTAGATTGGATTGGGTAGCTTATTGGATTGAACTAGACAGCTGACTGGACTAGATTGGATAGTTGATTTTTCACATCTACACAAAGCATGACTGATGTCAAAGCCCTCTTAAAGTATGGAGGTCAAACTTCATCCATTGCTGAAATCATAAGGAGCGAGACAAGGGGTTTAGCACCACTGGAGGTGTTGGCACCATAGAAGGGGTCAAGCATAACGGAAGGTGTTGGGCACAATAGAAGTTATTAAGCACAGTGGAGGGAGGGACACTTCCCCATTATAGTGGAAATGGCAAATGGATCATTGTCCGAAAATGTAAGAGTAACCCGTGAGTATACTATCGTGGGAATGGTAAACATATCCTTGTCTAAAAGATGAGAGTGGCACCACGAGCATCCTGCCATGGGAATGGTTAATGGATCATTTTTCAAAAGGGAAAGAATGGCCCGCGAGCATACTGCCGCGATAATGGTAAATGGATCATTTTTCAAAAGGACAAGAGTGGCCCACGAGCATACTACCACGAGAATGATAAATGGATTCTAGTCCAAGAGATAAGAGTGGCATCGATAGCATTGTTAAGGGCATAACATTGCATATTGCATAGTTTAATTCATCCTTGTTGCACTGGTATTTAATGCTTCATCCTTTGAATTGTGTTAAAATTAGAGCAATTGGTGTAATTGTGGTTGTTGGTACAAAAAGATATGAAGGAAATCATGTTAAAACAAGCTTAAGGTCTTGGGAAAAAACTAAGAGGAACAGGATTTAAAGTAGAGGAACAAGACTAAAGAAATCATAAAAGACCTAGACCAAGGTTTATCCGGTTGACAAAAGAACTTCAACCAGTTGAACATTTGTTTAACTAGTTGAAGAGGTTACGTAAGTTTTCATCAGAGACCTTCACCAAGATGCTATGAAGACTTCAACTGGTTGAACATCAATGTTCAACCGATTCATCAGAGTTCATTAGGCCATTAACAAGATACTGTGAGCACTTCAACAAGTTCATCAAAGACTTCAACCGGTTGAATATATATCGGCTACAACACACTTTTTTGAGTTGTGATTCGTCAATAGTGGATGGCTACCTTCACTCCTACATTCATGGCTACCAATCCTCATGAGCTAGCTTTCTATTGGTGGATGGCACCTCCCACACTTCACGAGATCGTCCCATTGGTTGTCGATGGCGGAGGAAGTTTCTTCGAATGAATACCCACCACCCGCACCACACATTTGGCCAATGAAGAGAAAAGATCAATGCTATATATATACATGAATTTCTCTATAGGAAAAAAATATTTTTTGTTGTTAGAATTCTTAGAGATTTTTCTTTTACTTTTTAGAAGTTTAGTTTGCAATCTTCCATTTTCAAAGCTTCGCCGAGCTTTGGAGAAGACAACTATGGTTTCCATTTCAGAGCTTATTTGTTGAATATTGTTTTTGTATTTGAACTTAGTGTTGTGAAGCAATCTTAGTTGAAGTATTATTTTTCCATTTTCTTGTTCTTTTACATATGTTTTACATGTTATTTATTAACGATTTCGGAGTATTGAGTTTCCGACTAAGTTTCATTGTGATCCGAGTGATGATTCTTGTTTGTGATTGAGCCTTTTTGATTTTCTAATGTATTATTTCCATGTCGTATGCTTTTCAGATGATATAAATCACTTTTAAAAACTAGTGTTTATTTAAGCACTTTGATTTATCGTCGACAAATTTTTAGCACGATTAATGCTTAAGATAACCTCTGTGTTTTTGAATTGAATATTTTTCGTTTGGGTAAATTTTATTATGAGCTTAGATGAGTCATAAATGAGAATCAATAAGCTTGATCATAACAAGATAATTCCCGAGGATTAGTCGATTGTTTTTATTTGAAGTTACTACATCAGTTTTCCTATTCACCAATTTTTTACTCAATCAAAAGGTATTTTATTATGTTTTACAAACACATCACCATTCAAATACCAAAGTGTCCATGAGGAGATGACCTCATAATTTTCTAAATTATCACACTACATAATCTTCCTACGCTTGGGAAAACACATTGTAATATTTTAAAGGAAGCAGAAAGGATAAGACTACATACAAGAAAAAGTGACAAGCAGGCATATTGTTGCAGGAATGGTAAACAGATCCCCGTCAAAGTGACAAGGGTGGCACCATGAGCATAGTGTAGTAGGAATGGTAAAAGGATCCTTGTCCAAGAGACGTGAGTGGCACCACAAGAATACTGCCGCAAAAATGATAAATGGATCCTCACTCAAGAGACGAGAGTGGCACTGTGAGCATAGTGCCATAGAAATGGTAAATGGATCCTTGTCTAAAAGGGCAAGAATGGAACTGTGAGCATAGTTCCACAAAATGGTAAATGGATTCTTCTCCAAAAAGACAAGAGTGGCTTGTGAGAAAACTATCGTAGGAATGATAAACAAATCATCATCCAAGAGACAAGAGTGGCACCACGAGAATAAAGTTGAAGGGACGTTCAATTTTTGAGGGTCGTGGTGGCCTAGGTGTCTTGATTTTTGAGGGAGCGCTATTACCAAAGTGTCTTGGTTATTTAGATAGGTAGCAATAGTTGACATAGTGATGGCTGAGGTAGCAATAGTCGAGGTAGCAGCGACCAAAGTAACAGTTGGTGTAGTGACGGTTGAGGTAGCAACAATCAAGATAGCAGTAGCACAAAGGGCTAACACACTAGTCAAGATAGTGGGGGCACCCAAATCTGGCCCAATAGTCAAGAAAATATACAGGAAAAAAAACTTGAAGAATGAGAAGGGGAGAACGAGTGCCAAGAAATGGAGAATGAAAAAAGAAAGGAAATTTAGAAATGGCAAAAGTAAGTGGTGAAGGCCTTATTTCGAGACGATCGCGGTACCCATGTTGGCACAAGGATTTAAAAATAAATAAATTTGGTGACAGTTATAAGGCTTTCGACAGTCACAAGTGGTACATTGGTGGAAGCAAAATGCTACTTAAATATTTTTCCCAAGAATGAAAAAATGTTGGTCCCAACAATGGGTATGCACACAGTGACCATCAATGGAAGGCTCATGCGTGTAGGGGCCAACTAACCACAACAATGGCAATTGACAACTGATGATAAGAATTCGGGCCCACTTCACGATTTTTTTTTCATTTTTAGCAGCACCATGGTTGGTGCACAAACGACAAATATAACCAAGTGATAAGTATAGAGAGACTACAGTGTGCACATGCATAACGCTTCTCACAACCTAGCACGCACAAGGACAAATGTAGTACCCTATAAATTCAAGACATTTGTTCAAGTTATGAAAGGAAAAATGGGAATAGTTGATAGCTAACATGGTAGTTGGGGCCAATAGGGTTCAGTGGGCATGAGTATGAACAACAGGGCCATGACAACACATAGTGTCACGATAGAACCCAGACACGACACCCCCAATGCCGTCGAAGGGCAGGACACATCCTCATTGATTCGTCATCAAAAGTATCAGTTCTTTGTTTATTATTTATGACGAATTACATTGATTCTAAGGTATCAATTGGATAATTCCTTGGTTTTATGCTTTGATTAGTTTAGTGTTTGACGATGTAATCAGCTAACACAAGTGAATTGAGTTGAATTGAAGTGCTTGGAAAATTGACTAGACGATTGGAGATTAAAAGAAAACCAAGGGGTCAAAGTGTAATTATAGAAGGAGTCAACAATGACCATTGGACATTGTGGGACTAGTCTTGGATAGCTTGATGCATCTAGACATAACTTCCTCATCTAGACACGAGTGTTAAAATGACCCAACTTTGGAATTTGACTAAATATTTTGAAATGACGATACGTAAGACTTTTGTCCAAACGCAACTTCTTTGACCAGATGCGACGAATGAAGTTTTTGATTCCATAGATTTCAAGGATGCGTGCAGACGAGCATTTGACGATATGGTGTACCTTTATTGGGACGTAATTGTCTGTTCGGACTTAGTTGTTGACCAACTCAAGATTTTGAGACTTAAGTCCAGACGTAACTCTTCCATCCAGACACACCTATTGAATTGGCGCCATTGAAGTCTTGACCTAACAAGAGTTTTATTATTCTATTATTCTGAATTTCCTTGATGTACGAGTCTCCTATAAATAGTGGAGGGGATCAACCTAAAAGGGGGCTGATCTTGAACTGATCTTTTATTTTTCTTAGTCTTTTTTAGAGAACCTCTATGGCCAATGAGTAATCTCCCTTCTACTTTATAGTTAGGGTATGTCATGTGGAATTATATATTGAATATTTATGTTAATGCAATTATTCTTTTCTTGTTCTTGAATAATTTATCTTCTTACTATTCTGATTGAATGAATGATTCCTAACCAAAGTAGTATACTCTATACACTTGATTGTTCATTAATTGGATTGATTTTTGGGTATGAACAATTCTTATAATTTCTTACTAGTCCATGATACTAGTTCTTATATTCATATTTTTATATCAATCAAATCTTGATTTTTAAAGTTATATTTACCGGTTAATTACACTGACGTTGGAAGTCAGTTGAGACAATAAATAATTGCATTGGTATTATATTTAATATATAAGAACAGTTCCTAATCTTGAAACTAGAGAGTATCTTTCCCTAGAATTTGTTACAATTTCTCAATTTCATCTCTTAATAAATTGTTCTTTCTTTTTCACCTTCTCGTATTCAACCAATTCCTAGAGGATCGACCTTGGTCTTACCAAGTTATTTCTATTGCTGACACCTGCACTTGGGTGTAACATTTTGGAAGCAAGTAAGTTTTTGGCACCATTATTGGGAACTTGAAAGGATACATAAGCTGAAAAGAGGAATCTGCCTTCAAAACAAGCTATTTGGAAAACTCAATTTTCTAGGTAACCTCGTTCCATCTTTTCTATTAATTTTGTTTTAGTTTTAAGTTTTATAAATTTTGTTTCATTATTGTTGTTTAATTTTTAGCTATTAGTTTATTATGAGTCAAAATCATTATTTAGTTATGTTTGGTGGAGATACCTCAGATTCCGATATTGGATACTTATTTAAAGAGTCTGTAGGATCTGTTGGTTCGTTTGCATCTTTTTCAATCTAATCAATTAATTCTTGCCCCTCCTTTGATTTTAGTAGAATAAGTAGTGAACTGGGAGAGCCTGTGAATAACAGTAATCGTGTCCAAGATGTTGACCAATAGGTTAGAACTCTTAGGGACTATCTGCACACCACAGTGAGTAGTATCCCGTCATGTTTTGTATTCCCAGAAAATGCAAAGAGGTTTATGGTGAAACCTTGCACTATCCAGCTTTTGCCACAATTCTATGGCCTCGATTCTGAAAATCCCTATCTTCATTTGAAGGAATTCAAGAAGGTATGCAGGACCTTCCAAGATAGTTTTGATTTAGCCAAGCTTAAGCTTTTTCCCTTCTCATTGAAGGATAAAGCCAAACAGTGGCTTAATATTCTAAAACTCCACTCTATCCCGGACTGGTTTGCACTGCAAAAAGAGTCTTTAAAAAGTTTTCCCTCATTCACTGTACAAATGCTTTAAAATGTCACATCATGAATTTGGTGGTGAAAGATAGGAAAATATTCTATCAGTGTTGGGAAAGATTCAAAGATCTCCTTCATGCATGTTCGCACCATGGGTTTGAAAGCTGGACCTTTGAAAGTTGGACCCTTGTGGGTTTTTTTCTATGATTCTCTCCCCACCCCTATGTGTTAGTTTGTCGAGATGATGTCACAGGGAGAGTTCATGGATAAATATCCTGATGAGGCTTTTAAGTTTTTTGATACTTTGTTTGACAGTTCCAAGATGTGGGACTCGGCCTCACCTATCAGTCCTAAGAATAAGTCCACCACTTCCCACTGGAAAAAGTATTTGTTGAGAGAGGATTACAATCTGAGAGCTAAGATGACCTCTTTATCACAAAAGCTTGAAGTTCTAAAGTTGAAGAAGGTTAACAAAGTTTCTAATGTGCCACCCACTAAAAGTATTTGTGGGATATGTGCTTGAGTGTGGCATTCTACTAAGGAATGTCCCATTATTCCTGCTTTTCAAGAGGTACTGTTGGAAAACTTAAATGTCGTCTTCAATTTTCAAAAGCCATATAACAACCCCTACTTTGAAACATACAATCAAGAGTGGAGACAACACCCGAACTTTAGATGGAAGGGTATACAATAGCAACAAGCCCAACCATAAGCACCACTGCCACCACAACAACAACAATACCCTCCATATCAGCCAACCCACAAACGTAGTTTGAAAGACACATTGAACTAATTCATGCAAGCCCATATGCAGTACAATAATCAAAATACACAAGCCTATAATGAATTCAAAGAATTTAAAGCCTAGACTACACAATTTTTTGATGATTTGAAAGTCACCAGAAAAGGGCAAGTTTCCTGCTCAACCAAAGCCTTCATAGGGTAAGTTTCATGTAGGCAATTCTTCTCCTTGAGACTCTTCCCAAGAAAATGTCCAAGTTGTTACTACTCTTAGGAGTGGTAAAATAATTGAAAAGGCTACACCACAATCACACACTGAGTTTACTTTTGCACCGGTGGTTAAGCTTACCCAAGTCTCCCCTGATGAGATTGAGTCTAGAGAGGTTAAGGAGTCCCCATGTCCTATTCCTACTCCCTTCCCTCAAAGACTCAAAAAACCCCAAAAACTGAGTAATCATGCTGAAATCTACAAGCTTTTTAAGCAAGTAAATATCAATATACCGCTTCTTGATGCCATCAAGCAAGTCTCTTCCTATGTTAAATTCCTAAAGGACTTGTGCACTGGTAAAAGATATCAAAATGTTCAAAAAGGATATTTTTGACTGAACAGGCCAGTGTTATTATTTAACACAAGACTCCTCCTAAATTCAAAGATCCAGGGTGTCCTACCAGATCGAAATAGCACCAGACGATCAGAAGAGAACAACTTTCACATGTCTTTTTAGCACTTTTGCCTACAGGAGAATGTGATTTGGTTTATGTAATGCTCCTACAACTTTCCAACGATGTATGCTAAGCCTTTTCAATGACAAAGTAGGGAGATGTTTAGAAGTCTTTGATTAGCCTTAGATATTGTGTTATTTTGATATTTATTATTAGCTAATTACATTGGGCAAGATATTATTTGTGTTGAATTAATTGAGATTTGGATATCATCTTCTTTTTGTAGTGTTTGTCTGATTTGACAGGTACATTAGTGGAATTAATGATGCGAAAAACAAAAATACATAAAGGGAAGAGATCTACATCAATAAGGAGTAGGAAGGAGTATTCTGTCGGATGCGTTTGGATGATGGATCAAGCGCGTCTAGACTTAAGTTCTAGAGATTGCCTAAGGAATCATTGAAGACATGCGTTCAGATGGAAGAGAAGCTGCGTCCGCATAGGACTCCCAAAGGCGACACAAGAAAGATGCTGGAAAGTGCGTCCAGCAGGTCCAAAACACACGTTCGAATGTGAAGCAAGTTTTTGCTCTTTAGTGTATCACCCAAGTTTTTGGCGCCGTTGTCGGTGATATTTTTTATAAATTTTATTTTTTTAATTGACCATTAAGATATTTATTTTTACATTAAGGGCAATGTTGGATTTAGGTTTGGGGAGTGGGTGTGTTTAGTGTTGTGAAAATTTCTATTTTAATTGAATTTTATATAATTTTTATTTTATTTAAAATTTATAAAAAAAATTTGATTGTTAAATATTTAAATAACATTTTTATGCAGAAATTAACACCACAGTATGTGAATAATTTGTTTAGCGTTAAATTTGCAGTTGATGAAACATCACAATAAATTGCTATATTTTTGTATCTCATATCATGTTCTTATCAAAACTCACAAGTTTGAAATTTGTTAGATATCTTATATTATGAACTTGAAACATATAGTAGAGATGCATAAAAATCTTGGTGAGTTTTGATCCAATATTCTTTAGAGGGTTATTTACATTTACTCGATAAGAATATTTTTTATTTAACTAATTTCATTGAATAGTCTCATTACCTTTGTTTTGGTCAATGCCAATATTGTAAATAATTGCTTGATTTTGAATTATTTGTATGAGAATTGTGCTGCTAAGAAATCTTGATATATGATTTTAGGTCATCTTTGACATTATTTGAGAGTTAGTATTATTCTTTGAATATTATTATTCCTAAAAGCCATGATTGGGCCTTTAAAGCAAAATTTCGTTTCTTATACCACAAATATAATAACCAAGCCAACAATATGATACAATATCTTTTACCCTTAGTTATTCCGAGATAGAGCTGCTATTGATCAATAGGTAAAATATAGTGATGTGGTTGGAAAATATTATGAGAAAGGTAAAAAGTACTTGTGAATATCTATATTTGATGACTTGCTTAAAAAAAGTATATATGTTCATTTGTTTTTGAAAAAAAATAGAAAAAAAAAGTTGAAAAAAAAAAAGACAATATGTCTAGCTGTGAAAAAGTAGATTAAAAAAAGAGAGAAAAATAGCAAGCATGAGTTTGAAAAAAAATATGGGCAAATGTTGTAAATTGTGCTTCTAAAGAATGATGAGTGAAAAGTAATGAAAAGAAATTTGGTTGTGTAATGTACATGTACTATCAAGATAATCTTTTGAATTCCTGAATATCCTTCATTTCAAAATTCTAATCTCAAGACCCCATTACAACCTTAAATAAAGACCTATCTGATCTAAAGAATATATTGGTGAAGTAGGACTTGTGTGAATAGGGAGAGGAATTGTGATTCTTTACTTATTGTGTGTTGATTTTCTTTCATGAGACTATGCCAAATCATTTTCTTGTATTTAGCGGTTGTTTTAATAGAACATTTCTAATGATCCTAAGTATCATGGAAGAACCAAACAGATAGATCTAAGATATCATTACATCAGAGGCATAATTGCACAAAAAGAAGTAATCTTAAAGCACATACCTATAATTTAGATGGTTGCAGATTCCCTAACTAAGCCTATAGCTAGAGATGCGTGTATGGCAAAAAATGTGGACCTAATTATTGAGTTAGCCAACCCTATTTACTTAGGCCTTTTCAATCAAGTTTAAAATACAGTATTGAACACACCAAAAGTTGGAACTTTTTGGCAAAAAAAAAGAAAGAGATGCGTATATGGCTCATGTCAGAACTCTAGGACTTCGTAGGTATTAATTATGTGCTAGAGATTGTATGGATCACACAGTCATTTGTATTGACATTTTTTTGGGATATTAATACATGATTTTATTTGTAATTAAATATTATATTGCTTGATTACCTTGATATTTGAGAAAACACACACATTAAGTATGTCAACAGGCGTGATTGACTCATTCACATGAGCAATCGCCTTTGGTGTTTGAGATGACGAGCAAAGATGAGATACTCTAGCATATAGTATCGCTCTGTTTTGTATACAAAATGAGATATGACATTTGAAGATCTATAATGGACATAACTCCATGTTTATTATGCCTGTGTTTGTTGATTAGTCAGATGTGAGATCTTAATTTGGTACCTCTGGAGGGTGAGCAAATAGAGAAATTGGGTTAGACACTTGTAGAATGATTAGACTAAGATTTGTACGGTGTTTGAGTATGACATACGCTCTCATTAGGATCAAGACACTCCACTGTACTATGTATTTCATACTATACGTGTTTGACGACAATTAAGGAGGTGAATGAATGGATCCCTACTTCCTCACTGTGTGAGCCCTCTGAATCATTTTTACATGACCGAATTAATTTGGATAACCAAACATTCTATGTACTTTCTACCTTTTGACTATATCATAAAGTGAAAGAATTAATGTTTAGCTACTTTGGCATGTTACTTATGGTCATGAGTGATTCGGCCTTCCGAGACATTACTTGGAAGCGGTTAATTTTGAACTTAGTAACATAAGGGTGAATTGAAGACCATTTGGAATATTCCGCTATATATTCACCATCGACAACTTTGAGCGCTAGTTTAAATAGAAACAAAGTGTGAATGTATAGGGTAAAGCTTCGAGGGGTTATATATGTTCTGATATTATGAGGGATTAGAGATGCTTGAACCGGTGTATCCGAATGGGTCTAGAGTAATTAAGACACCATTTTCATTTTTTTTTAGGTTTGATGTCTCTATACTGGCTCTATAGAGTTTCTAGTGTAGAGCTCCTAAATTGCAAGTGTGCTCAACAGTCGCACGACTCATTAGCCTGTATGAATTGACGTTGATGTATATAATGGATTGAGAGAGATGGTAGTGTCATTCTGACAATGTGCAAATGGGAGATGTTAGATATTGGTTGGGTCATGGACCCGAACGGGATGCCCATGGCGAGTCGACCTAAATTAAAGAATGCTCAAAGGGACATGTTTTATGAAAGTGTCATTTACCATCCAAAATGCATATCTGTTAAATATTAACAGATATGTCGCTATAAGATGTGTCTCTTAATGACAAGTATTGGTTGTCTATATAAACCCAAGACAATCCAATAGATGTGAGATCTCTGATAATTAATCAAATGTTAAAGTCTCCTACTCTATTTCTCTCTTTTCCTACATAACATTTGTAAGACTTTTGTGCTGTGGAAAACCTGGTGTTGATTCGTCTTACGTAACAATGTCATACTGCTCGAGTAATTAAAGAAAAGACGTGGATTTAAATTCTAAAATACGTGGAACATCATCAAACAATTTTTTTTTTTTTTGGATTAAAGCGAATAATTTTTGATCCTACGCTTCTACAACATGCTACACGATTCCCAACTGTAGTCACGAAGGTCGTGGTAAAAACATTAGTATGTCTGTGTGTATCTGTTTTTTGAATCATTTAGTCATGAATGAACATTTCTTCATTTTCTTTAATTAGTATTTTTATATAGTTGGGGTTTATAAATCCTTCAAAGGCATAATCAAAATGCGACATAAGCTGGAATAATGGCTCCCAAACAATATTTTTCCTGCGCAGCAACTGTTTGCTTACAATGAAAATGCATGGAAGCATGAATTCAGAATAAAACATAAATACAAGAAGGACTTGGGTTTTTCCCTAGTTCATATGGCAACTAATTACACTAACTTAACAGTTATTACCACTTTAAATTCACTTGAGGCATGAGCTTAGCCCCTTGCCTTGTGATCATACTGGAAGAACTCGGAACTCATGATTTTGACCCCTCTTACCCCGATTACAACACAAATAACACAGTAGAAGTTTAAACAAGTTGTTAGCTTTGTCAACAGTTTGGATAAAGAGTTACCAAATAGAGTCCAAATTAAATGGTTGTTCCTGTTGTTGCTGCTGCACAGAATCTAAAACCCTAGACGAAGAAGCCGGGAAACTAGAAGCTAAATCAGTTCCGAAGTGGGGAATTCCTTGGGGCATAATTGAGTAATCAGTACTTGTAGCTTCTCTTGGCTGATAAGTCCTAAGCTGTAATGCCCTAAGAAGCAAGGAATTCATCGAAAGGTTCGGGTTTAGCAAGGTGGAAGGCCATGAGAGTGATGGAAGAGTACTTGCTGCTTCTCTTGCTGCAGCCCAATTCATGTTCAAGTTCATGTTTATGTCATCATTGTTGTAATTTTGAAGGGACATATTACTTATCCCGCTCGATGAATTCGCAATGTTATTCAAGTTTGGTAGCTCAATATCCCCCAACTCGTTCACAATTGTGTTAGTATCACAAGGAGACTCCAGAGATTGTTGTGAGGATGTTGGTTGCTGTGGTTTCTTCACGGTTGAGCTCTTTTGGAAGACCCTACAAACCACCCATTCTTCCTAATAACAAAAAAACCCAAGAATTAAATTAATTATAATTGAGGGGTACCNGCTACACGATTCCCAACTGTAGTCACGAAGGTCGTGGTAAAAACATTAGTATGTCTGTGTGTATCTGTTTTTTGAATCATTTAGTCATGAATGAACATTTCTTCATTTTCTTTAATTAGTATTTTTATATAGTTGGGGTTTATAAATCCTTCAAAGGCATAATCAAAATGCGACATAAGCTGGAATAATGGCTCCCAAACAATATTTTTCCTGCGCAGCAACTGTTTGCTTACAATGAAAATGCATGGAAGCATGAATTCAGAATAAAACATAAATACAAGAAGGACTTGGGTTTTTCCCTAGTTCATATGGCAACTAATTACACTAACTTAACAGTTATTACCACTTTAAATTCACTTGAGGCATGAGCTTAGCCCCTTGCCTTGTGATCATACTGGAAGAACTCGGAACTCATGATTTTGACCCCTCTTACCCCGATTACAACACAAATAACACAGTAGAAGTTTAAACAAGTTGTTAGCTTTGTCAACAGTTTGGATAAAGAGTTACCAAATAGAGTCCAAATTAAATGGTTGTTCCTGTTGTTGCTGCTGCACAGAATCTAAAACCCTAGACGAAGAAGCCGGGAAACTAGAAGCTAAATCAGTTCCGAAGTGGGGAATTCCTTGGGGCATAATTGAGTAATCAGTACTTGTAGCTTCTCTTGGCTGATAAGTCCTAAGCTGTAATGCCCTAAGAAGCAAGGAATTCATCGAAAGGTTCGGGTTTAGCAAGGTGGAAGGCCATGAGAGTGATGGAAGAGTACTTGCTGCTTCTCTTGCTGCAGCCCAATTCATGTTCAAGTTCATGTTTATGTCATCATTGTTGTAATTTTGAAGGGACATATTACTTATCCCGCTCGATGAATTCGCAATGTTATTCAAGTTTGGTAGCTCAATATCCCCCAACTCGTTCACAATTGTGTTAGTATCACAAGGAGACTCCAGAGATTGTTGTGAGGATGTTGGTTGCTGTGGTTTCTTCACGGTTGAGCTCTTTTGGAAGACCCTACAAACCACCCATTCTTCCTAATAACAAAAAAACCCAAGAATTAAATTAATTATAATTGAGGGGTACCCCAAAAAACACCATTTAGAGGGGCAAGGAACCTTTGTAGCTTTGTTTGAATTAAATAAAGTAAATTAAAGTAAGAATTAATTTACCTTTGTAGCTTTGAATGAGAGCTTGGTTTCTATCCTGTATTCATGCATGACCCAATTGGTTTTTTCACCCTTGGGAGCTCTACCTCTGTAAAATACCAAGGTTTTCTTCATCCCAACCAAGACTCCGCCGCGGAAAATCTCCTTGTCCTTCCCTGTTGTTTTCCAGTAGCCTGCTGCTGTTGCACGGTTGGTTCGCATCCCAGTCGGGTATTTTCTGTCTCTCAGGCTAAAAAAATACCATTCTTTCTCTCCCATAGAAGCTTTGGCTACAACAAATTCATATTTAAAGTCACTCTTTAATTAGGGTCTATACATTGTCATAGAAATGGTAATTGTTTCAGTAATTTTACAGTTAGTTCTTCCTTGGTAGATGAGGTTGTTTGTTGTATCTACCAAAATAAAGCAATACAAAACAAGAGGACATACCCCCTAACCTATATAATTAAAAACTAGTGGCGCACAAAACATAGCCTGTACAACTACTTACATCAACCAGTACAAACCACTCTTTTTTAATGTAATTGTAAATGAATTTCAATACTTTATTTTGTGCAATTGTAGCACTCATTTTCACAAGGATAATACTATAAATCACCATTTAACTTCACTATTTTTTCTTAATGCTTACACAGCCGGGATATTTTTTTCCTTTTTATGTAAATAATTCCTTAGAAGTTCTTCTACAAAAAAGGAACAATTAGAATTTAGACGGACAAAAAACCTGGTGATATAATCGACATTTGTGGAGGCAGAAAAGGTACAAAGAGCCATGAGTAAATCTAATCCAGGTGAGAGGATTATGCCTGGGTAGGATCAAAGGAAAAACTATTCAGCAAAATAAAATGGTAGAAATCCTTTCAAGATAATTTTAGAAATGCAGATGCTGAAAGAACTTGACGACTATTTAAGCTTTGTTATGCACTGCTTGGTAATTTTTTTAATTATTTGTGATTACTATTGTTTTATAAAAGTGGTCTATATATGCGACCTGATGTTATAGAATGCACTTACATACGTGCATATATATGCTACTATTCATGCAATCTTGGATGAATAAGAAATCCAAACAAGTAACAAAAAAATTATAAATACGAACCAAGTGTTACTATAACAAAGTATTTAAAAAAGCCAAAACCAGACTTCGAAAAGCATTCTCAACCTTAGGTATTGTTTTGAAAAGAATTGCTCTAGATTAAATCTACACGTCCCCCATGATTAGAAAAGAGGGTAAAAATCTTTAAAAAAAGGGACAATTAATGCTAAACTTTGAAGACAAACACAGGTTAACTGGATAGCATTTTGAAACTTTCCTAGATTTCACTTTGCCTCCTGTGTCGATTTTATATGCATTTACAGCAGAGAGAATACTTGAAGTCATATCAGAAGGAAAATAAGAACAACTGAAATTCTATAGTGGTTAAAGGGGATGAATTTCGCTGCAAAAAAAGGCGTCGCAAATAGACTTACTTCCTGTCTTGTGCTTGAATGACAACCACTATATGATCTAGGCAATTACATGATTCTCATGATCAAAAGAGGAAGATAATTAGTTGCAGGCTTGCAGCATATATACAAACTCAGAGAGAGTAGCTACCTGGGAGGTCCCAAGGTTCAGATTTATTGAGGTCAACATCAGTGATAGCTCTTGATGTGAAGCTAAAATCAGAAACCTTGCTTGTTAGATAATAACTGATCAACTCTTCATCAGTTGGATGGAACCTGAACCCTGGAGGAAGATTCCCCTCCATCTTTCTCACTCCAGAAAAAAAAGAAAAAAGACTGGCCCGTTTCGATTTTCTGGGGCAGTGATCTTGGGAAGGGGAAACGAAATACGAAAACAACGCAGCTCGGGCATTAATGGTGCAGACGCACGTTGTTTTCTAGACCTCATCCTTCAAGAAGAAGCAGCCATGGCTGGTCGTTTTTTATGTTGATAATTACAGCTAACACTTTGACAAAGATAGTGCACGGAGATTTTGGATCTCTCATGTCGATTCATTTACCAAAATGCCATTACTGATATGACCCAGGATAGCGGATTTACTTAGGTGTCATTAGCGTTTTGGATTTATTATAAGAAAACCTTGAATTATGGCGTTGGCGGGGAGAGTGAAATTTGACCTAATAATTTTAGAGCGATATTATAGGGCCTTATTTGAGGACCCTATTTAGCGACTAAATAACGTAGCTTCAATGTAATTATTAGATTAGTTATGAATTTTAATGTTAGATAGAGCGCACAACCAATCCAATGGTTATACATTATTAAGTTCCTAAATAAAGTTCTCAAATAAGATCCAAATAACATTTCCTGTAATTTTAACCACAATCCGCAAACCTGACAAAAAATTAACACAAAACTTAGGGGTGTAATTTTGATGGGTCAACCCAAATTTTACCCGAATCCAACTCGAGAAAAATAGGGTTTCGATTGAAGATTTTAATACTTGAGTTGAGCTTGAGTAGAAAAACACCAACCCGAATTAAATTCGGACAATACTCGGGTTGAAGTCTCGGGCTCAATCCAAACATACTTGAAATAAATACATAAATCAATATAGCAATATAACTTATGAGTTAAAACACTAGGGATTGATCTTCTGGTTCATTCTTTTGTTAAACATTTGACTATTATGCCTTTATGTTAAACATTGATTTTTATGCTTTAAATACTATGATCTTTATGTTAACATTTGATTGAAATTATTGATTGTTACTTTAGATAAATATTTTGTAGTATATATCAAATTTAGAGCAACAGGCTGATTTCGGTATTGAATGACCAAAATTCGAATTCTAACCCGAATTACGTAACTCGAAATCAACTTGAATTATAACTCAAAATTTGCTTAAATTACGTAATCTAAATTCAACCTAAACCCACCCAAATTAAACTTTGGCAATACTCAGGTTTAGGTCGGATTGGAGTTAGAGTTGAAAATTATATACTTAGGGGGAAACTAGGGTTAACCCTTCAACCTGTGTAACCCACCCGAGCTGCACCACTAGCAAAACTAGGAGGTCTGAATTTAATTGATACCCGATACGAATTTGACACAATATAAACTCCATTATACATGACTAATGAAGTATGCATGGGCTGAATAATTTTTTATATGACACCAACTAAACACAATACAATGGATTGATACCCTAGCGATGATGCACATAAGTAGATGGGTAGTTGTGGTATTTTGTTCTGATTATGTAGTAAAGAAGTGTCAACTATTTTAGCTAAGAGGGTTGAGTCTCAATTACATCTGATATAGCACATATTCTACTTCTATGGCATTGCCCAACCACCTTCACCCATTTCTACCAACCGAGACCAGGCTAAAACTTGCTCTGGTCCAATTGGATTGTCGCCTCGGCATTAATATTCTATTGATTGTTCCCTGCCATTTGTTTGCTGCTACCGTCATCTCCTCTCTCTCTCTCTCTAATATGCCTAAATGTGAATAGGTGAACGTATCATTGTTGCGTGTGAGTCTATTGCATCTATTTAGCTTGTGTTTCGATTGGTCTATAGCTTTTCCTAACAAACTTCACATTCATCCATGGTGGAGATAATGCCAACTAAAGATTTTGCCTGTGACTGGCATATCACGGATTTTAATCTTCCGAAATGGGTTCGAATTCATCTCTTCAATTTTGGCCAAACTTAATCAAATGATGAGAATCATGCAGTTAAGATTTGACAACATGACCCACCGTCAAGATCAAACATTCTTATCATAATATTGATTTATATCAAAATTTAGAGTTGACTTTTGGCTCCAAGAATCCAATCAAAGTTTCTCTATGGTATCATGTGTCACATTAAGAGTTAACCTATGTATACATCTAATCTTGGCCATATATCTGCTCATAAGAGATGATCAGGATCACTTGAAGGCCAGGTTTTATTATTAGCAGTATTTATGGGAAGCATTAGATAGTTTCCTCACATAAAATATTAGCTAATAGTTAGTCCTAAGATCTTTCATGTGATCATGATTTATTAAATGTGAACAAAGATTACAAGGAGTGGTTAAAAGGGTCACCAACCCACACGACTGTATCTCTTGTAAGCATTGATTTCAAACCTTTTCTCTGTTCATTTGTCCTTAGATCCTCCATTTTTCAGTCCTAACAAGAACTTTGTGTACTTCATCCATGCAGGCTTCTAGAACCTCTCTCTCTCTCTCACACACACACACACAACCACACCACCATCCCCCCCCCCCCCCCCTGCCCCACTCCCACCCCCACCATAGTGGCGCCGCCACTACCACCACTATCATTATGTCACTGCCACCACCACCATTACCATTGTGCCACTGCTACCAACACCACCACTGTAGCTGCTACCACTATTACCACCACTATTGTGCCACCGTCACCACCACTACCACTACTATTCCCACCGCCACCATTGACACCACCACCACCACCACCCACCATCATCACTACCGTTAATACCATTGTGTCGCCGCCGCCGCCATCGCTACTACGATCACTACTATTGAGCTACTGCCACCACGATCACCACCACCACCATTGTGTCACTGCCACTACCAACACCATCGCTACCACCACCACTACCATTGTGTTGTTGCCACCACCATCATCGTTGTTGTCACCACTACCATTGTGTCACCGCTACCACAACCACCATTGCCGCCACCACCTTCATTGTTTCCACCATTGTATCGTCGTCACTACTACTACCATTATGTCACCGCCACCATCACCATTGTGTCACCACTACCACCACCACCACTGTCGCTATCACAAACCACCATNCAAAAAAAAATAAAAAATAAAATCTTAATGTAGCTATGATTCTATTTCTTAATATGGCAACTGTTTTGTCTATATAAACTACATTATATTTAGCTGGTTAGCTCTCATTTTACTAAGTCTTCAAGTGTACTGATCCCGTTTCTATGCATTGTTTGCTGGGTAATGAACATCCACTAAATAGTGGATAAGCCTCTGATCCAAGTGGTTATGACCAAGATGCCATTAATTTCCCAATCTAAGCAACCTCTCTAGAAATTTGATTCCACAGATAAGTTGATGACTTTCATTAGAAGATGGCAAATGCTGGAAAGGGATATAGATTCCCTCATGTTAGAGTATGTGTGGCTCATATTTGCTGTGTGCACAATGGCAAGGAGGCTAATCCAATTTCGATTTGAACGATGCGATCTGAATCCAATTTAATTGTGTAAAGAATTTTATTTTCACAGTGCATATATGAATCCGTTAAAATAGATATTCGTTCTGATCTGAATAAGTTGATTAGAAACGATTTTAATATCTAACACATGGATTTCTACTCAATTTTATTAAATAATCACCAAATTATATCATATGATTGTAGGTACGTAGTACATATTCAAATTCGTTACAAAAATAAATATTTGAATAGATCTAATAATCTATATATTACTTTCGAATGTCAATATTTGTCAAAAAAATTTAATTGATAATACTATCCTTAAAAAGATAAAAAGATATACTACTAATAAAAGTAGCTTTAGTGAGAAACTTTTGATTTCTTTATTCATTCTTTAATAATTCTATAATATCTATTTTTTATCCTTTTTAAAGTGGCTTAAGAGAAAAAATTTTGATTTTCTTATTTATTATTCAAAAATTCTATAATGTCTACTTTATCATTTTCTGATAAATTTTTTTATTAGTTGTATTAATTTAACAAATAAATTAATTGTTAGAATTTTGTTTATCTTCTTCAAAAATAATACAATTTCGATCCAAATTTGATTTGAACAATATCATTCGAATCCAATTCAATTGTCCAACGAATTTTATTTTCACAGTACATATATGAATCCATTAAAATAGATATCCGTTCTGATCCAAAAAGTTAATTAGAGACAATTTTAATATTTAGCACATGAATTTCTCTTCAATTTTATTAAATAATCACTAAATTATTTCATATGTTTGTAGGTACGTAGTACATATTCAAATTCATTAAAAAAATAAATATGTGAATAGATCTAATGATCTATATATTACTTTCGAATGTCAACCTTTGTCAGAAAATTTAATTGATAATACTATCCTTAAAAAAATATAAAAAATAATAATAACATATTGTAATAATTTCTTATTGATCAAAGAAATTAGTAGTCATCTAACTATTAATCACTGACTGAAGTTAAACATTATAGTTTTTAAATATAATGAAATTCAGTTTATACAATCCAAAATATGAGAAAAATCTTGAGCGTAGAAGTGTTCACCTTACCCTACGGATAAGAATTGTAGTATTTCATCTTCTTACCCGATATTTTACGAAATAATTTTTTCTTAACTTACCTTAATCGATTAAGTGTATTATTCCTACCCGAATTCCATCCAAAACAATCGGGTAGGAAGTCGGGTGAGCACATATTTGTTTATTAATTTTTAAATTATTTTAATAATTTAATTAAATAACATGCACCAATTAACTAACACAATAAACCAATAACACTAAAGAAAACATAATGAATTTGATAATAAATAAACAATTACAATAAAAAACACAACAAGAAAGTTATAAACATCAATACATCATATATAAGAAATTCATAAATATCAATAAAATATTAGGGTTTCTAGATTTTAATATTTTGGGATTAATATATATATATATATATGTGTGTGTGTGTGTGTAGGGTAAAAATATGAAAATTTTACAATTATTTTGCATTCCTACCCATTTTTTATGGAATACCAAAAGATATTCTGT